GTGCGGCGCCTCCTCTGCCTGGGCGACGTCAACGGCAGAGCAAGCCAGGTAGCGCCGCCGCCACCTTCGACACCGCCGCCACCACGTGCTCACCTACGCCCACGTGCGAAAGGCCAGCTGTGTAAATCATAATCATCGTCGTCATGATCCATGGGCAGATGGCCCGTCGTAGCTGTCCACCGCACATCTCGTCATTCGTTTCCACTTTCATCTGTCGTGTGCCAACATGCTCAAGTCGTGGCCACATCTTTCAGGCACCGATCTCCTGTTGCCCATCCTAAGTGTGTGTCCAAATAGTGTCCTTCTCATCACTGCCTGCGTCATCATCATCGGGTTGTTTTCTTCTACTCCTACGTTGTTGGTTGCTCTTGGGGTCCACGTGCTGCGTATATGGAGGGATATATAACAGTTATTGTTGCAACTTGCAACACGCCGCTGCACAGTAGTCGCTCACTCTGTCTCGTGAGAGAGAGAGAGGGATGCGGGGGTGCATCAAAGACGAGCGGTAAAGCCAGCAGAGCCCGGTGGTGAGCCGTTGCCACGTTCTTGCCGTCCCAGAGCTGCTCATTTAAATAATCAATTACCGTGCCGATTGCCGGTCAGACCACCGGACTGACCCGATTGCATCCAAGTACTTCGCCATGCGCTCCACCGTTTGTTCCGCTCCTGCTAGAACGATTGAATCGCTTTTTTATTTTATTTATAAAAGATCTGAGTTTTTTTTTGTTACCGATATTTCATTTCGTGCCACCCGTATTATTCATGAATCTTTTGCGTTTGCCACTCTACGCTTTTGCTTCTTTCGCTTTTGCTTTGCTCATGGGCGCCGGGCGCCACCGTTGACCCGAGCGGCGCGTGCGCGTGCTCTCCGGCGCGTGCGTGCGTGCGCAGGCGGGCCAGACGGCGCTGATGCTGGCCGTGAGCCACGGGCGCGTGGACATGGTGCGGGCGCTTCTGGCGTGCAGCGCCGACCCGAACGCGCGCGACGACGACGGCTCCACGGCCCTCATGTGCGCCAGCGAGCACGGCCACGCCGAGCTCGTGCGCCTGCTGCTGGCGCAGCCGGGCTGCGACGCCGCGCTCGCCGACAACGTGAGATGCTGCACACACGCACACGGGCACGCACACACGCACACACGCACACGCGCACACGCACACACGCGCACACGCACACACGTGCACACGCACACACGCACGTACACACGCACACACGCACACACGCGCACACGCGCACACGCACACACGCACACAGACACACGCACACACGCACACACGCGCACACGCGCACACGCACACACGCACACACGCACACACGCACACACGCACACAGACACACGCACACACGCACAGACAGGGATCCGCCTTGCAGCCTTGAACAGAGTGTCGCTGTTAGCGAGTAGCGGAGTAGGTGGTGAGCACCACACCTGGCCCGCCTTTGTCTCCTCGGAGCTCTGTGTACGCGTGTTGAACTCCGATAGCACCGTACGTAGCTCTGTGTGCGCGTGTTGAACTCCGATAGCGCCGTACGTAGCTCTGTGTACGCGTGTTGAACTCCGATAGCGCCGTACGTAGCTCTGTGTGCGCGTGTTGAACTCTGATAGCACCGTACGTAGCTCTGTGTACGCGTGTTGAACTCCGATAGCACCGTACGGAGCTCTGTGTACGCGTGTTGAACTCCGATAGCGCCGTACGTAGCTCTGTGTGCGCGTGTTGAACTCCGATAGCGCCGTACGTAGCTCTGTGTGCGCGTGTTGAACTCCGATAGCGCCGTACGTAGCTCTGTGTACGCGTGTTGAACTCTGATAGCACCGTACGTAGCTCTGTGTACGTGTGTTGAACTCCGATAGCACCGTACGTAGCTCTGTGTACGCGTGTTGAACTCTGATAGCACCGTACGTAGCTCTGTGTACGCGTGTTGAACTCCGATAGCACCGTACGTAGCTCTGTGTATGCGTGTTGAACTCTGATAGCACCGTACGTAGCTCTGTGTACGCGTGTTGAACTCCGATAGCACCGTACGTAGCTCTGTGTACGCGTGTTGAACTCTGATAGCACCGTACGTAGCTCTGTGTACGCGTGTTGAACTCTGATAGCACCGTACGTAGCTCTGTGTGCGCGTGTTGAACTCCGATAGCACCGTACGTAGCTCTGTGTACGCGTGTTGAACTCTGATAGCACCGTACGTAGCTCTGTGTACGCGTGTTGAACTCCGATAGCACCGTACGTAGCTCTGTGTACGCGTGTTGAACTCCGATAGCACCGTACGGAGCTCTGTGTACGCGTGTTGAACTCCGATAGCACCGTACGTAGCTCTGTGTGCGCGTGTTGAACTCCGATAGCACCGTACGTAGCTCTGTGTACGCGTGTTGAACTCCGATAGCACCGTACGTAGCTCTGTGTACGTGTGTTGAACTCCGATAGCACCGTACGGAGCTCTGTGTACGCGTGTTGAACTCCGATAGCGCCGTACGTAGCTCTGTGTACGCGTGTTGAACTCCGATAGCACCGTACGTAGCTCTGTGTACGCGTGTTGAACTCCGATAGCACCGTACGTAACCAACTGGGCTCATTTGAGTGCTCATATTTACTGCACACCGCACCTGGCACTATATAAAGCCACATACTTACACGATTTGTATCGTATTGTGCGTGTATACGTACGTGCGTGTGTGCGTACGTGCATTTGTACGTTTGTGGTGCTGCATCAGGACGGCAGCACGGCTCTGTCGATCGCGCTGGACGCGGGGCACAAGGACATCGCCGTGCTGCTCTACGCGCACGTCAACTACTCCAAGACGCCGTCGCCCGTGAGCGACCACACACGCACGCAGACACACACACGCGTGGCACGCACGCACACACACACACACGCACACATGGCACGCATGCACACACACGCGTGGCACGCACGCACACACACACACACACGCACACATGGCACGCATGCACACACACGCATGGCACGCACGCACACACACACGCACACATGGCACGCATGCACACACACGCGTGGCACGCACGCACACACACACACACGGCACGCACGCAGACACACGCACACGCACTTCTGGCACGCACACACACACGGCACACGCCTGGCACACACACACGCACGCCTGGCACACAGGGCACGCACACACACACACACGCCTGGCACACACACACACGCCTGGAACGCACACAGACGCACGCACTCGTGGCACGCACACACACACGCACACACGCCTGGCACACACACACACACGCCTGGAACGCACACACACGGACGCACTCGTGGCACGCACACACACACGCACACACGCCTGGCACACACACACACACACGCCTGGCACACACACACACACGCCTGGCACGCACACATGCCACGCACGCACATGGCACGCACGATGGCACACACACACACACTCGTGGCACACACACACATATGGCATGTACGCGCGCCACGCACACACGCACGCACAATGGCACACACGGGATTGTTCAACAAATGTCACCGGATTACCAAGAGCGCTCCATTTAAACTACAGGGAGCCTTGAAAAAAGTAAAACCGCAGCACTTTCCCCACCAGCCTGTGCAGGCTATACGGGATATCTTCACCTTTGCCCGCATAAATAAAACGCCACGAGCGCACGCACGCACGAGCGCGGCTCTAACACGGCGGCGTGTCTGGCGGGCAGGGCACGCCACGGCTGGGCCGCAAGGCCTCGCCCAGCCCCACGCGGCGGGGCCCCTTCGACTGACGGACGAGGGGCGGCGGCGGCGGCGGCGGCGGCTCATCGGCGCGAGGGCCGCGTCTTCGGAGGCCGACCCGGCCGAGCAGAGGAGGGTGCGGCGGTGGGGGGGCGGGGCGGCACCGTCGAGCGACAAGGGGCCCAACCGAGGCCCACGCCGGGTGGAGACGTCGCGCGGCGGCGACAGCGGCGACGTCGTCACGCCCCGTGGTGTTAACCGCGGCCGCGGCGGCACCGGCGTTGTGAAATCGACGCTCGGCACAAACCGCCTTCGAGTGAGAGCTGTTGCCGCCGTGACCGCACCGGGACCCGGAACCCGGCTGCGGTGTCTCGGGGGAAGCTCTCCGCGTCGCCGGGAGACTGCCGGAGGCGGCTCGTGACACTGGGGGCAGCCACGGCCGTAGCGGAAGGATTTGGCTTTTGTTTGTTTTTTAATGCAGGTTACTGAGCACAGTTGGGGCAAAAGGCCCGTGACGTCATGCGGACAGCAACGAACAGCACCATCAGAGTTGTAATCGACGACGATGATGATGATGATGACGATGATGGTGGGAGCGGTGCGAGGGAAGAAGCACAAGAAAGAGTGTTGTGACCTGCAGTGTGGTGAGTGTGGGTGAGTGAGTGTGAGTGTGTTGATGTGACCTTCAGTGTGTTGAGTAGGTGAGTGAGTGTGAGTGAGTGTGTTGTTGTGACCTGCAGTGTAGTGAGTAGGTGACTGAGTGTGAGCGAGTGTGATGCTGTGACCTGCAGTGTGGTGAGCGGGTGAGTGAGTGGGTGAGTTAGTGGATGAGTGGGAGGGTGGCTGGGTGAGTTTGTTGTTGTGACCTTAAAGTGTACATAGCCTGGCACAAGCGTTGTGGTGATGTCACCGGCACTTAGTGGCGAACGGTGGTTGTTGTTGTTGTTGTGACCGGTAGTGCGGTTGTTGAACACATTCTGGATGAGATGTCATTTGTTGGGTGCAAATATGTTTTCCGGATCGCTGGTAGACTGGAATAGGTGTCACGTGACTCGTATCCACAGCCATCGTCACCGTCATCATCATCATACTCTGCTGGGTTCAAGGCCTTCCAAAGCGGCTGGTGAAGCGAGCGAGCGGTGTTACTGGATGTGGTGTGCCGGGCGACTAAATATCACTTTGGGCTGCGGACGCGGACCGACACGGCCGCGATTCAGCCGGGGACCCGGCACGGCGAGAGAGCCGCTTCACGCAGTTTACCCAATGGCCTTGAAGCTCACTTCGGTGGCGTGCCAGCACCGAGCGGAAACGTCACAACTCTGTCTCATCACCATCGCCACCACGACCACCATGACCACGATTACTTTATCGGAGCACTGGGAACACAAGTGCCTGTAAATGCGTTCCTTTGGGGCAGTGGTTCTTAACCTTCGCTGCACCACCCCAGGTTAAGAACCACAGGTTAAGAACCACAGGTTAAGAAGCACAGCTTTGCTGGTTACTGATTTGCTCCACTCGATAGCGAAGTCCGCGTGCTACGTACGCACGTGCGTTGAACTTCCTTCGCAACGTACGTAGCCAGCCCTGCTAATCGGAGGTGCGGAGAAGCACTGTCGACTGTTACTTTCGCAATGTTGGAATGGTGTCTGCTGCAGTACAGCAAACGGAACTTGTGGGTGCTTTGGTTCTGTACGGAACGGGCAGCAATTTAGTGGAATATTTATTATATAGTCAAATATTATAATATACCTTTATACGGACGGACAACGGTAAACATGCCCACACTATGCACAATTACACACCCACGTTTTATATAGAGATATACATATATACAGTATATATATATATTTACACACAGGCATAAGTGCACTTAGTGCAGTCGTTAATATTGTCTTGTCTGCTTGTTTAGTTATGCTTCGGTGTTTCACGATAGCTTCCAGCTGCTGTCTCGCGAATATATGAATGGCCAGTGTTTGTGTGTGCAATGACCAGCGTATCCACGGCACGCACTTATCCATCGCTTTGCCTTGCACCTTGTTCCGTGAGCTGCTCGCAAGGGGTTCGGTCAAAGTGTTTCGGGGTCGGGGGGTGTTGAAGGCACACGCGCATTCGCAGTCCCTAGTGGAGTGCTAACGCCATCGGAGTCGCCCAGACGACGCGCACCCACGTGCTATGCAGGGATTCACGGTCTCGCTCCGTAGTTTCCGGCTGTGTTCGTGAGTAAAGATTCATTTTCTTCTTGGTTCTTTCGGTAAAGTCACGTAGAAGGTAAATAATAAAATAATAAAAATAAAACATAATAAAAGTATTATTCCTTTGTCAAGGCGCCCTTCCTCCTCCAACCCAGCTTAAATATACGCTGCCAAGCTTGGTGGTGTTTCATTCAGACGCTGTCTTTCCGACAGACCTGTTCTTCACCTGAGGAAGGTGGCTTGCGTTGTGGCCGAAATATCGTGAGAATTGTATTTTATTATGTTTTATTTTTATTGTTTTATTATTTCCCTTCTACGTGACTTTACCAAAAGAACCAAGAAAATGAATCCCTGCAGTCACGAAAGCTTTACATCGAAATTTAAAGATTAATTGTTGGCGTAAGGCACGAGCACTAGATTACCGAGGCGTGGTCTAGCCATACCCCGATCGGCTCCAGTCTCCCTTTAAATCGCGTGACTTCTGTGCGACACTGCCCACTGTGAAAACAGACGCCGATCCGTGCAGCAGCAGCAGCAGCAACAACATCGATGCCCCAGTGCAGCGTCTTTCTCGCCATCTGCTCCCCGTCTCTCTCGGTTCCTTTTTCACCGCGCAAATTCCCTCTCATCCCCTCTCTCTCCGCTCTCCCGTTCCGTGTCTGCGTCTCCCCTGAGCCGCAACGCTGTTCATGTGCTCTTCGGTTCTTTCGGTAAAGTCACGTAGGTTAAAAAATAAAGTGAAAATAAGAATAAAATAAAAATAAAATAAAAAATAGAAATAACTCAATTGAATCACTACGTTTCGATTGCAACACAAGCAATCATCATCAGGTGTGGGAATCGCACTTATATAAACTCCTTAGCCCTGGCATTTCTCCCACTTTAGTAAAACATTTCTAGCTGTGATTTCCACACCTGATGATGATTGCTTGTGGTGCAATCGAAACGTCGTCATTTAATTGGGTTATTTATATTTTTTCTTTTCTTTTTTCACCTACGAAAACTTCAAATCTTGCTGTTACACATCATTGACTCCACTGCCCTCCTGTGTGCGTCATGCAGTTTTTTTTGGCGTAAACCAGTGGTGGGGAACCTTTTATCTGCCAAGGGCCATTTGGATATTTGTAACATCATTCGCGGGGCCATACAAAATGATCAACTTAAAAAATAGCCCGTTTATATTTGGTCAAACATTTAATCAACTCGCCCCTAATGCGATGGCTGGAACTGCTTCTCTCTGGCGAGGCGTGGCGACGTTAGCCGGTGTTGATGTTGCTGCTACTCGCAACTGCTTTCCCAGCTTTGCTCCGAGATTTATTGAATTTCGAGTCCCGCCTGCGGTTGCCTTGGCAGGGCCACGACAAATGATTTCGCGGGCCTCGTACGGCCGGACGTTCCCCAGCCCTGGTGTAAACAAACGCGTCTGTTTTGGGCAGTGCCTTGCAGCCTCTTGCCACGTGGAATCCGAATCGGGCGCGAGGAGTGAACGGTGGCAAGGCGCCTCTCAGAGCTTGGCCAGGCGAACGCAGTCTCGCCACCACCCACGGCAACTCCTGTTTGGTTGGAATACATTTCGATGGTGTCTGCGTGTTTTTTTGTTTGTTTAATAACTCCCAACAACATTTTTGGGAGTTTCGCGACTGCGGGAATTGATGTCCGTTGATTCTTTCGGTAAAGTCGCGTTGATGGAAAAATAATAGAATAACAAAATCGTCGAAACGTCGTTGTGAGTTTTTATTAAAGTATTAAAACAATTATATCGACGTGACTTTACCGAAAGAACCACAGGATATGAATCGCAGCAAGATGTCGTGTTCGTGTCTAACGTGGAAGAGCGGTGGGCGAGGTGGTTGGACCTCGAACCCGATTCCCATTCACGGCTAACATCAGTGGCTGCGGAGTGATATACACACCTGAACGGGCCTCCGATTATTTTGTGACGCTGATGTTGCAACGCAATTCGCGAGCGGCTCTAATCGAGTAACTGCACGCGACTTAGCTGGAACGTAAAGAGCACTTCGTAGACAATGAGGTTAGTACCGTGGGGCTAACGCAGGCCTCTGGGACATTCTGCGGCGTCGTGGGTATCTCGGTGATGATCACACTCGCCGTGATGACAACACGCGCGCCTCGCAGCGAGAAGGCTCCAGGTTCGATGTCCGACTCGGACGCACTTTCTGTGCGGAGTTTGTTTGATCTCCTCCCCGTTCTGCCGGGTGTGTGTGGGGAGCGGTGGTGCAGCGGTTAGCGCTACGAAGCCGGCTATGAACCGAGTTCGATTCCCGCTCAGGGCAAACGCTGGCGACGATTATCTGATTATCTGCACCGGTCCTCCCATAGGTTGGCTCGGGCTCAAACGAGTACCTGGTGCGATGTGGAGTCAACATCGTCACTGGGAGCTGTTGAATACCCACCCCGTCGTGTGCAGTGCCGATCTTTTTAGGTGGTGCTCGCGAACAAAAACGTGCCCCCCCCCCAAGTCTGTTAAGGCTTCACGGGGAATGTCTGGTGCGTTCTCCCCCTCTTCGGCACGGGGTTTCCTCCGGCAGCATTTCGTTTTACTCCCACGCTGAATAAGATTTGTTCTGAAAACAATAAAGCCCCCACCCCCCACGCACAATGTAACAACCGGCTTATCTTTGTTTTTGACCAAACGACATCGCAATGCTGCGATAAAAACAAGGATGCACCCGCAACATCTCCCAATCTGTGAACACGTGGCCTCTACCCCCCACCCCCCGTACATTACAGCAGAGTAATCGGCGTTATGGAATGCTATTAGCGGGAACGAGGCTACGTAAAATGAAAGTATGAGTATAGTGCCCTCTGGTTCATCATGAGACCTCCTTTGCCAGTAGCAAAATATAATAATAGGTTTTTTACCCGTTTATCTGGCACAAAACTGACATCTTTTTTCAAGGGGTCATGCTTGCATTGACCACAATACCTGCGGTCAAAATGCAAACAAAAAACACAGTACTGATAATGTGTGCACTGTCCTTGAAATTGATAGGTCCACACCGGAGACAGCTTTTCTTAGAGTCCAGTCTCATTTGGTGTTCGACCAGATGGCGTCATCTGTAAAAAGGTGTCAGTTTTGTGCCAGATAAAAGGGTAAAAAGCCTATTTATTAATGCCCTTTGGTTCTTTCGGTGAAGTCACGTGGGTAGAAAGATAATCGATCACGACGTTTCGATCGTAACGCAAGCAACCGTCCTCAGGTGGGACGACCACAGCAAGAGAAACTGCTGAAGTTGGCGTCTGTGATTGTCCCGCCTGATGACGATTGCCTGCGTTGCGATCGAAACGTCGTGATCGATTATCTTTCTACCCACGTGACTTTACCGAAAGAACCAAAGGGCATGGATCCATGCAGTCACGAAAGCTTCAAAGCAAGATTATGAGGAGAGTTTGACCAAATCACTTTGCAATCACGCGGCTGTCAACAGCTGAGGGGCCGTCCATGAATGACGTCACAAAAAGTCAGACCCCCCCCCTCAAATATGACGTCACAAAGCTCTGCCCCCCCCCAAAACTATATTTCCATTTTGAAAATGAAACGCGCTTCAAATCGCTTTAAACTATTGCCATTGTAGTGCGTATTTCATGTGGCGCTGCACTCTGATGTTGTAGGAGTGTTATAACAATTCTATATTTAAAGTTGCGCATTTTGGACGTCACATTTCTCAACCCCCCCCCCCCCCTCGTCACACATCGTCACAAATGTTTGACCCCAAAACCCGTCCCTAGGTGCGTGACGTCATTTATGGACGGCCCCTTATCCACGGCCACTCCCGAATCTCCCTGCCTGCATGTCCTCGTCACAACGTGGTTCTCTCTGGCTCCACGAGTCGAACCTTCACTGAACCATTCCCCCGCCCCCCCCCCCCCACGTGACCCCCCCCCAAGTGACCCCCCCACCCCTGTTGTTGTGTCGTCGTTTCTCTCACACGATCATCTCCATCGCTGGCAGCAGCAGCAGCAGCTGCTGCGTTGGCAGTCCAAGCACGAATCTCGACTCGTGTATCACTGGCACTTGCGAAGAGGGACCGTCTGTTTGTAAATGTTGTGGCTTGGCTCTCCAACACAGCGGTGTAGTGCTGCACTGGTACACTACACTGTATACTACACTATACACTACACTATACACTACATACTAGTGCTGTAGTATACTACACTATACACTGCACTATACACTACACTATACACTACACACTACACTATACACTACACTCTACACTACACTACTCACTAGTGCTGTACTAGTATACTACACTATACACTACACTATACACTACACTACAACATTATACACTACACTATATACTACACACACACGTCCCCACGCACACACACACGTCCTCCTCACAGCATCGGTTCTCCAACCCAACGCAACCATCCCCGTGAAATGTAGTTATAATGTTGATGATGATGATGGATGCACAAGTCCACACAAAGTAATCAAACTTAAGACGCATTTATCGATACTTGCACTTTACAAAATACACCAGTCGCGTACCAGATCGCGTTTTCGTAAAAAAGAAACTATCCATAAATAAAATGTGTTGCTGTTGTTGAAAAGAATCGCGCTTCAACGGGTGCGGTACAAAAGTGCGCTCGTTTACAATGAGAAACATTACCGAACGCGTTGCGAAATCTCTCGCGCGGATTGCACCGAAGCTTGCGTAAGTGCCATCAGGATGCAGACCTGCACTGCTTTTTCCCCTTACGACGACGACCCCCTAACCCACCCAACCCCCACCCCCCTTCATCGTTAGCAAGAACTGCGAGGGATAATGCGATAAAAAAATATGTTTAAAAAATACATAAATGCGTATTATATGAATCTTGATTTGAAGATTTTCGTTCTTTCGGTAAAGCCACGTAGGTAGAAATAAAATATATGGCGACGTTTCGATCGGAGCACAGGCGATCGTCCTCGGGTGTGACTTTACCGAAAGAAGCAACGAGTGATATGAATCTCTTCAGATTCCAGGAGGGTGCCATCACGCGTCGCTCATGGCGCATGTCCGGGCCATCTCAGCCGGGAGCCTGAGAAGTGACCCACCTTGTCTGCAAATGATCTGGTGACGCTGCTGCTGCTGAGTGTGCAGTGGTACACAGCACAACAACAACAACAACCTAAACATCAACATCTTCCTCGAGAACACCACCGTGGCCTTTGAAGGAAGGCTGTACCTAACCGGCCCCTCCTACGTTGCCGCAAGGCGTCACCCGAATGTCCGCGTCTCCTGCAAAAGGCCACGCCGTTTGCAGGAGTATAACCTGGGTGTAGAATCTGCGGAGAGGAAGACCTGACTTCACATTATGAGACCTCCTTTGCCAGTAGCAGCAAGATATAGTTAATAGGTTTTTACCCTTTTATCTGGGGTAAAACCCTATTACTAAGACCTGATTTCTCACCAACGTTGCGGTGTTACATTTCATTCAGCAGAAATCGTTTGTTGTGTGTGTGTGTGAATGGCTGGGGTTTTAAAAGCACGGGATATACATTTGTGAATTCATCACTGCCGAACTGTCGAGATCCTTTTCTCGCCGTCTTCATCTTTTCGATGCGAGTCGAGCGGGGAAGGTCTCGGAACCCCCTTCGGCGCGAGGATTCGGCACCACCAGCAGCAGCAGCAGCACCAACAGCAGAACTCTCTTCTCATCCTCACGCTCATACTGGGCACCATCAGGAACTCTGTCTGGTGGGGGGCTACACGGAGGAGAGGGCAATCGTACCGTGATGTCGGAACACGCGACACGCGACACGCCGGACATCCCCTGCTGCTGTCATCATCTCAACGAGGCAACAACCCACAGACACCCCGGGTCTGTCCCCGCGGACCCGCCAGCGAGCCGTTGACAATTCACGCGACAGCCTCAAAGTGCACCTAGCCTGGCGCAGGCACGGCTGGTTACGTACGGTGCGAGAGAAGTTCCGCATGCATCGTGACGAATGGCCGACACACGACCTCCAAGATGTGTCGTAACAGCATGCGACCACCTGCTCTCGGATTCACATCGAGACCCACCGACTCGCATAGAGACCCATGGGTAGCAGCGTAACCACCTCGTTGTGGCCTAAGGCCTCTTTACCTCGGTGTGAGGTGTTTACAAAGACAAAGATCTCCCCGTACAGCCTTAGACTTTTGGGGCAAATGCTTTGAACGAGCACACCCACAAACAAAGACGCTCGCGTACGTACGTGCAGTTGAATCTGCCGCTCAGACGGCGGTCTCGTCCGCGATCACGTGGTCGGTCTCGTCCGTGTTCAGGTGGTTGGTCTCGTCCGCGATCACGTGGGCAGTCTCGTTCTTGTTCAGGTGGTCGGTCTCGTCCGTGGAAAATGGGTTCGGCAGCATCTTCTTGGCAGTCGCAGCTTCACAGAGGCGCTGTCATCGCAGAAGCGTCAATCACGTATCATTCACCACCGCCGCCACCACCGTTCACGATTGGCCACGCGCGATCCATCAAGGACAAACACGGGCACATTTGTGCTCCTGCTGTGCTGCCAATGGGCAGATTTAGTCCCGAAAAATGCAATAATCGGGCCGATTGGTGGCATTTCGGATTGACTTTTTGTTTTGATTAAGACAAATGTGACGTCATGGGAAGTGCTAATCTAACTAACTTTATTCACAAATCAGCACTTAACCACAAATCGCAATAGCATCACAACTGCACCTTCGTAAATCACAAAATACACCTCAATATAATTAAGGAAAGCCTCATTTATACCAACCAACAAACGGTCGCCTCGCTACACCAATCTACCCTGGCCATCACCAACCGGCCAATCAACTCTCGTTAGTAAACGGGTCACGTGCGCGGCTGGCCTTGTGACGTCACGGCACCTACTGGTGGACCCACACCGATGAGAGAGACGGTGACGCTGCCGATGATGCTGGGTTGTCACCGCCACCGAAACGTCGGGACAAAATTGCCAAACGCTTTGCAAGCCTCTTCTTGGTTCTTTCGGTAAAGTCATATAGAAGGGAAGCAATAAAATAATAAAAATAAAACATAATAAAATAATTCTCACGACGTTTCTACGTGACTTTACCGAAAGAATCAAGAAGATGAATCCCTGCAGTCACGAAAGCTTTAAATCGAAATTTAACCGCCTCTACGGGGAGGGATTCCACATAACTTTGAGATCCTTCAACAAGCTCCGTGATAAGAAGGGTCAGCTAATCGAGTCTCTCACCTTTCTGAAGAGATGCCGCGACTCTAAGGCGCCCCTTCCCCCCTTCCAACCCAGCTTAAATATATGCTCCAAGCACGGTGCTGTTTCATTCAGATGCTGTCGCCTCGACAGACCTGGTTTTCACCTGAGGACGGCTGCTTGCGTTGTGGCCGAAACGTCGTGAGAATTATTTTATTCTACGTGACTTTACCAAAAGAACCAAGAAGATGAATCCCTGCAGTCACGAAAGCTTTAAATCGAAGCTTTGCAAGCCTTCGAATATTTCGCCGGTTCGCCGATGTAACCAGTCGGCGTATTTGCCCATGACGTGGCAAAACCTGCTTGGCTGTCGTTGGATGGTGGACGGGTTATAGTTTTAAAATGTTTACAATTTTCCCTGCACAGTGATCTCACCCAAAACAACACCAATTATGCACCGGCCCCCCAAGACGGTGGTGGAAAGTCCACATTCCCGTGACGGGGTCAAGCTTATCCAGAAGACAACCGC